ATTCGTTGGCACCCTCCCCGCGTCCTCAACTGCCCCTCTGCCCGCCCGTTTGGAAGGTGCCGGTTTGGGGAAAACAGTTGCCCATCGAAACGGCCCTCCCCAACCACGGGGCGTCCCCAGCTTTGGCGTTTTAAGGCTGGAAAAGGGAAAAGCAAAATGCAAATTTACTTTTTTTTTCCTGTCTTGGAGCAAAAGGGGAAAGACCGGATCCACGCAGGCCTATTTTCTTTTGTACGAGCGCCGGGGCCGTGGAGGGAGCCAATCAGGGGAAGTGGGCGGGGACGTTCCGGGGAAAGCGGTTGGCAGTTAGGAGCTGTTTTGCATGAATTTCCATAAAGAAGTTTCGACCTCCAATCATTGCACGTCATTTTCCCAGCCATTTGCTACGGAATGTTTTCCCAACTTCCCCGTTGAGCTGGCCACCTGATGATTTCCTTGTGGTCTCCCATCCACACCCTAAGCCAATTTGCCCGCACTTTCTTCCCAGTCAGCCAAGACCAGCCTTTCATTACTTACCTAACTTAAAACACCCCATTTCTCCATGCAACGGGTGGTCAAAAGCAAGGAATCACCCGTTATAGACTCAGTGGAATTGTCACTGAAGCACACAAGGGTTGTGAAAACCATTTGAAAAACCTAGCGAACGACCGAAAAGGAAAAGAAATGAAATCCTCTTTCTCCCACACGCGCACACAGACACACTTCTGAAGCATCTTTATCTTCCCCTCTAAATTCAAATCCTGCAAAAAAATCAAGGCGGGAGAAAAACGAAGCACAGAACAACTTCCAAGGCTTGTTTATTAAAAAAAATTTTTTTATTTAAAGTCCGCCCTCAAACCGGGGGATGGAAAATGAGTCTTAATCTGTACATTTTAGAGTTGGGTTGGATTGTTTTCTTTAAAACACACACACACACACACACACACATGGAAGTGAGGTATGCAGGATGAGAAAAATCAGCCCGGCAAAGGTTTCGGACCATTTATTCGAAGCAACACGCGCCGTCCTCAAAAATTGGGGGTATCCGCTGGACCCAGAAACTTCTGAGTCAAAGTCCAATCGCTTTGCTGGTGGAGCTGCAGGAAAATCAAAATTTACTGAAATCCAGGCTGTTATAGTCCTCGCACCAGCAAAGACCGTACCGCCCTCAACGGCCTAGATCGGAGTCAATTTTCGATGGATCTTCAGAGAGTTTCATGCAACCCCTTGACGCCAACTTCCATCCTTGCTAATCAAGCTAGCTGAGGACGATGGGACCCGGAGTCCCTCTCTCTTCTGTGATTTCCAGACAGGGTTTTGACCATCACGCCTCTTTCCTCCCCCTTGAGCCTGGATAACCGCGTCCCTTGAAATTTAACTCAGTATTTTCTTCTCTCTCTCTCTTTTTTCCCTTAAAATTTGATTTAAAAATAGAAACACGTCTTCACAGCATCTTCCCAAAAAAAGCCCTGAGAAGTGAAAAAGTTTAGTTGGAGGAATTCAGATCCAGGCATTTTTGTGGTGAGCGTCTAATGATTTTCTTTTTCTGTAAAAAGCCCCAAAGTCTTTTTTTTATTCTCAGGTGAATGAAAATCATCCTTTATAGGCACTTGACATCATTTTTGTTACCTGTCCAAACAAAACACATAGAAAAACCAATGAAAGGAGGTGTTTTAGTAGAAAAACAGGAAGCCATACACCATTAGTATTATTCTCATCATCATAATTATCAATAATAATAATTATTATCGTGGTATTATTATATATTAATAATAATTATTATAATAATAATTATTATTATGGTAGTGGTAGTTAGGATTAGTTATCAATTTCGATATTAGTTATCAATTTCTATATTGTAGCAAGTGTGATCGCCTGGCAGCGGATTTTATTCGCCAGAGGCGAGGAAAGATTGACAAGCCTTTCATGGGAATTTCACTTTGGGCTCCAGCAGAAAATCAAACCCCTTTGAAAAAAGAACTGGAAGCGAAACGAAGAATCGCTTCCAGAAAAAGAAAGTGCCACTTTGCAAATCGGATGGCATTTCCACTTTGGGGGCATCGAAGAGCTAACTTTCCTTTGAAGTTTTCACAATTCTTTCTCTGCCATCAGGACCCCTGGACCTTTCTCCCCAAAGAGCAGGAATTTTTTGCAACCGCAGCCATTTAAAAGGTCCCCTTGCTCAAATTCTCCCGACGGTTGAAAGGCAGCGACCGCGGAGAGATGCAAAATGAGGCCAGGTAAAAAAACTCACGGTTAAAATGCCACCAGGCCGGGAGGAGTTTCCCATGACGATGCAGCCCTGCGAAGTTCAGGTGCTGGACAAGTCTGCCCCAGTGCTATTGCCGCCTTGCGGCTCGCAGGCTTTGCAGGGGGGAGCCTCAGCCTGGAAGCTGGTCTCCAAACTCGCCCGGGGAGGGTCCGGACTCTCGTATCGCCAGCAGCACAACAAAGAAAACAGCTTATTCCGGACCACGCGGGTGCAAAAAACGAACAGGATGCAATTTGCTGCTCCTTGAAATGTGTTTCCGACGCCCTGGGGGGAAAGGGAGAGAAAAAATAGTTTTGGAAACGTCGATTTTGGCTTCCAAAAGAGCGCAGGACTCTTTCCGGAAGAGCGAACGTATCTGCTCTACATCGGAAGGCCAGATCAGCTCTCCTGATCCTTTAAACAGAGCAGACTTCAACTCCCACAATCCTTTGCTGCACATCTGGAGGCAGCTGGGTGGGGAAAGCTGCTGGAGGCTCCCCCCGTTATTCCCGGAAACTCACGTGAAGCACCACCAGGAGCCTGTTTTGGACTGCAGGGGAGCCCCAAAGGGTCAGCACAAACCGGACGGTACTCCAGATGCGGAGAACGATGAAAATAATCGGTATTAAGGTCAGCTTCTGGTCTGCCACGGATGTCCTCGGCTGGGACGACGGGGCTCTCGACAAAATGGGGCGATATTCCGAGAGGGCTGCGTGCTTGGGGACAAAGCGGGGAACCCCGTGAGACAGAAGATGCAGCCGCGGCCTTGTTTGCAGCCAACCCCGGTTTGCTCGCTCTTTAAGACAACGTCCCAGTACGAAACCCAAAAGGGACTGGAATTCCCACTGCGGAATGTGAGGACCGAGAAAGCCTCTCGCAGCTGCTCCGCGGTGCAAATTGCGCTTACGGGGAAGGAGCAGCCAGGAACTTGAGCCGCAGTCTGCTATATTTCAGGACCAAGCAAGCACGGGATTATTTACACACAGCCCCGCGTGCTGAAAGTTAATCCACCCGCCCCCTCCCCGTGAACGCAATCCCCTTTTTGCAAATCGGAAAGCCGATTTCGATCTGGAAATTCCTCTCTTCCACCGATTTTTTGGCTCAACGTACGAGCCCGAGCGACTCCGGGCTTCTTTTTCGTCCGTGAAGAATTTCAGAAAAGACATATTCCTTTTACATCCTTCTGCTGTTTGCCCCACCAAAGATAACCCCTGGTTGTGTACCCATTATTTCTCATTTCAGCAGAGAGGCAAGGAGAATAATTCGCCTTCCTCGCTCTGCCTGTTCGCCTGGAAGAAACACAAGCTCGTCCAAGGCGACAAGCTCGGCCGAGGGGAACGGAGACCCTCTGAATACTCACCGCTCGGTTGATGTGCTTCTTGATCAGAATGTAAAAAATTGGCAAGGTCACGTAAGCGAGGATTTCCCACAATTTCCCCGCCAGCAGCATCCAGAGGAGCCGATCTTGCGCGGTGATGTCAATCCAGCACCAGCCGACCGAGACGTCGGACGCGTCGTACCCGATCTTCTTCAAGGCCACGGCTGCTGCCGTGATGCCAAGGGGAACCCCCCAGCTGGGGACGGGAAAAGCAGAGGTTGGGACAGCTGAACGGCCCTCGAAGGTCGGAAGAAAGCTCAACGTCCCCTATCTGAGTTTGGGGAACGGCCCGCTTTGAACGCAGGCCGCCGGAGCGGAAGACTGGATTATAAAATGGACGGAGTTTGCGGGAATGGCCAAGCCAACCGGGAGAAAGCGATAAAGGCTTTTGGGGAAGGCTGGAAACTTTAGATGGGCTTTTCGTTGAAAGCAGAAAAGGATGGATTGATGGATTTGGGGACTGAAAAGCATTAAAGAGGGAGGCGGAAGAGTAACTACTGAATAGAAAGAAGGGCAGAATTCATAATTCTCTATTTTAATATAAATAATGATAATAATTTATTAAGTTTATATGCCGCCTGGCTCCAGCGACTCTGGGCGGTTTACAACTGTTAAAACGTTTAAACAATATTTCCTTCCTTCCTTCTCTCATCTCCTTCCTTCCTTCCTTCCTTCC